GGAAGGAGAGGAGGGAAGGGGGGTAAAGGATGGGTATCTGGGTGAAGGGAACAGTTTGTGCTAAGGTCTGAGATTTGCTCGTCCCGTCCTCCACCACCCCGGTCCTCACTGGCACAGTCCCCTGCCCAGGCTACCTGTTCTAGGGGGAATTAAGGAGACCCAGGGGTGCTTGTTCCCCAAGAATAGTCTCCCTAGGCCCATCCCCAGACCTTGACAGATGGCCCTGGAAGCCACACCCGAGGTCAGATCCAGGAGCCAGTCAATAGAGCTGCACAATGGGCCTCACCCTGGGGAGATAAGGGGCATCACTCAGCCCCAGCACCCTCAGCCAACCCACAGTACACACTGTTGCTACAGGCCACTGTTGCCCTGTGGCAAATATTAAGTCTGCAGTGGGCAAGTCTTAGTGAATGAGAAGGCCCCAGGTCCTCTGGCACCTTAGGGAGATAATGACTTAGCTGGTGAGATAAGCAACTGGGCTGGGAGGAGAGCTGACAAGGGTGGAGAACCTGGGCCCCAGCGGACAGTTGGGACACAGACTTCCCTCCTCGCTCCTGAGGCCTCTGTTTCCTTGTCTGCAGAGTGGGTTCTCTGAGAGGAGGAGCATGCTGAATGTAGCAACCTGTCAAGCCAGCCCTGTCTAGTGAATAACAGAATCGTTGGTAAAACAGATCTGTGATCTCACAATCTCACACGAGCCACGTCCACAACTACAGGTGTTCCAGCGTCATGCACAGGAAGGTAGAAGAGAACGTGTTCTTTAGCAGGTGCCAAATGCCATCATTTCTCTTTTTTTTTTTTTTTTAATTTATTTATTTATGCACACAAGAACTGGGGTACAGACCAGAGGTGTGGGGGGTGAGAGGATTCACCATAGACAGAGTGGGGAACAGAACAGGCAGATTGACTGAAGTACACTGCTGGCAAGAGCAGCGGGCGAGTCAGGAGAGGTCTGCTACGCCATGTGGATTGCTCCCTGGCCGACTGGGGATCCGGGGATCGAACTTGCGTTGCAGAGGCTGTGGATTGCTTCTTAGTGCGGTGCTTAACCCCTTGCACCACCAGCGAGGCCCCATTTCTCTTTTTTTAAAGATTTATTTTATCTATTTATGCATACATTTACTGGGGTACAGGCCAGAGGTGCGGGAGGGTGAGAGGCTTCCCCAGAGACAGAGTGGGAACAGGCAGATCTACTGAAATACACTACTGAAGGGAGCAGCGGGCGAGACAGGAGAGGTCTGCTGCTCCAAGTGGGTAGCTCCCTGGCCAAGGATCAAACTCATGCTGCAGTGGCTGGTGATAGCTTGATAGTGCTGAGACTTTAGCCCCTGCGGAGGCCCCCCAGTGCTATCATTTCAGCGTGGAATAGGTGTAAGATGCATGAATGTTATCTTTTACACCCTTTTTTTGCATATGTGTGTCTGCAGCAGTCATCCAGAGTGGGTGTCGATCTTTAACTTGCAGACTGCTCAGTCAGGGTATGCTCGTGGCCACCACATTAGAAACAGACTAGACTACCATGGTCCCTGCCTCCCAGAACTCCCCGCTTCGACCTCACCCCCCTCAGCCTGTTCCCCACACGCGTCCAGAAGCTCCTGCTAACACATCAGTCTGCTCCTGCTCCTCCCAGGGCACCCATCTCAGAAGGCAAGGCAAAGTCCACCCTGCAGTCTCCGCCCATCCCCCTCTGCCTGCCTCCCTCTGTCTCAGCACACACTGGCCTCACCTCAGCACACACTGGCCTCACCTCAGCACACACTGGCAGCTTTGCACAGGCGGCTCCTCCCCCAGAGTCAGCATGGCTCCCAACACCCTCTCAATTAAGGTGTTCAGTGTCTGCCCCAAAGCCACCTTTGCCCTCCATAAACCTGTGCGAGCCCCTCGCCCAGCTCTTTTTCTCCACAGCAGATAGAAATCTAACAGACAGAACATTATCTGTTTGTGTCTCCCCTGATGACAGGTCAGTTCTGTGGGGCAGGATTTTTTCCCATCCTATTCAGGGCTGTACCCCAGAGCCCTGCTCAATGCCCTGCACATAATACGTGCTCAGTAAATGCTTGTGGCATGAAGGAGCCGTGGCCCCACATGCCTGGTGCACACTGCGGGGTACTGAGCTCTCCATGTGCCTGCTCTCTTCGCGCTCAGAGGAGTCCCATGGAGATGAATATCATGATCACCCATCACCTACTTCACAGAGATCACCTGGTCTGCTTACTACCCAGGCCTGGAGCTCACGCACAGTAGGTGCTCAAGAAACTGCAGTTCTTGATGGGACCGAGGAATCCGGCTCACATCCAGGGGCACCCAAGCAGAGGCCATGGAAGTAGGGGGTGGGGCCGGAAAGGCCAGGACAGCAGAAGAGGGCGTGAGGGGGTGAGAGGCTGTGGGTGGCAGGAGCCTGGCAGGGTCTGGACAAAAGCAGGAGTCTGTCCCTGAGCCCCTGGGAACCACAGCCTGGTCACGTTCCTCAGTCAGACAGCAAATCACCAGAAACCCATACCTCCCTAGAGGCTCTTTTCTCTCTGTCTCTCTCTGTGTGTCATCCACACCGGGTATCTGGTTCCACAAACACCCCTGAGCCCCTGCTCTGTGATGGGCAGTGCTGGGACACAGAGGTGACTGCAGCAGCCCCGGCCCTGCCCTCCCAGAACTCATGGTCCAGTTGGGAAGACAGGGTCACCCTCTGACAGCGAGGACCCAGGGAGAACCTAACCCAGACTGAGAGTCCAGGAGGGCTTCCTGGAGGAGGAGGAGGAATTGTTGAGTACATGATGAAAGAGAGTAGAAGGCAGCATATGCTGAGTGGAGGGAGGGCAAATGATACAGAATGATGGGAGCAGAGTTTGCAGAAGGAAGGGTGTTCTGTGACGTAAGACCAACACACAGGAGCATGGCCAGGAGCTGAGCTTTCTCCTGAGGGCACTCAGGAGTCATGGCAGGTTGTGAGCCTCATGGGAGGGGGCAAGACCAGGGCCAGAGACCAGGAAGGAGTTGGGTAAGGGAAGCTAGACAAGGTGCGGGAGGGCACCTGGACCAGGGCAGGGGCTGTGGGGAGGGAGAGAAGGGTGCCCAAGGAAGAGTTTTTAAGAGACAGGCACCAGAGGACACGGTGTGCTGGGAAGAGAGGGGAGGCCTCGGGGACAAGGCCGCGTCTCTGTCCTAATGACAGGTGGACGGTGGCGCCACTCTGATAAAAGAAAGGGGTGGGAGAGCAGGTCTGAGGGAAGATGCCGAGGTCACCTGGGGACGAGGTGAGTGAGGTGCCAGGGACATCTGGGGAAGGCATCCTGCATGACACTGGACCAGGCCCCAGGGCTCAGGGGAGGGGCTGGGCCAGGTGAGGGTAAGGTGAGTTTGCAGATAGGGTGGGGGGAGCAGAAGGTACCAGGTCACCCATACCTCTCACTGCCCTCTCTCATCTCACCCCCAGAGCCCCGCCTGCAAGGGCAGCTCAGGACACGGGGCTGGAGGAACAAAACCAGGACATGAAAGCCACAGGGTTGATGCCCTGCCCAGAAGCCTCAGAGGGAGCAGATCAAGATAACAATAAATTAACATGTTTGTCAGGAACACACCCCACCCTATCCCCCCTCCCTGGGACCCCAGGATCCCTGCCCAACATCTTCCCAGAGACACTGCCCCCAATTTAAAAATCCCAAACCCCCTTTCGGCCTTTAGTTTTTCCCCAGGGCACTTACCTCCAGTCACTGTGAAACAGAGTGTCGTTTTGTTTATTTAGCCTCTGAACATCGGTGTGGCAGGGTGGGGTGTAAGGGCTGAGCCCCGTGGAGCCTGGCAGGAGAGGCTCCTACTAAATCTGTGCATAAATGCATGAGTGAGTCGCTCTCCACCAGGCAGTGTTTACTCATCTAACCTTTACAGCAGCCCTCGAGCTGGGTGCTGGTGCAACAGGGTGGTCCCCAGGAAAGGGGGAGGTTCCCTGTCCTATAACACTGGGATCATCCCCGTTTCCAGATGGGGAAACTGAGGCCCAGAAGCTCTACAACCTACGCGGGGCTCATGCAGGGAGAGAACAGCAGAGCTAGATCCAGAGTCTGGGCTGAAACTCCAACCAGACCTCGAGTTCGGGGCCAGGCTCCGCAGGCGCTGGGAAAATCTTGACTCCGAGGGCCAAGCTGCTCCCTAACCCTGAGCCTGCATTTCACCCTCCATTTTGAGGTAATTGGAGACTCGCTCCTGCCCCACTGCCAGTGAGTATACAGGCAAGGTCAAAGCTCAGCTCTCTCCACAGGCTTCACACCCATTAAAGAGAGAGCAAAATCAAGCCCTCAAGGGGGAAAGCGGGAGGATGTGGACTCCTCAGTCCTTGCGGGCAGCCGACCAAGAAACAGGGTCCCAGAGAGAGCAGATGGCACCCAGCTCCTACCCTGCTGTGTGGCTTCTGGCAGGAAAAGCAGGCTTCGATCCCCTCTCCCTGCAGGACCTGGGATGGTCGCACCCCCACCCGCCCGCCCATGCCTCACCTTCCCCATCTGCTAGTGGGGGTCTGACATCAGTGCTGTGATGCTCACTGAGATGACACCTTTAGGTCACACGCCTGGGTGGGAAAATGGCCGTCACTGTTTATTGGTTTTATTCCACAGTGACACCCCCAAGTTCACCACGGAGATCAGGCCTGGGCTGTGGGTAAAAACTGCCCTGAAACCTTCCCCTGCCCCCTCCTTCTTCCTCCCTGGCGACCTGGTTCTTCTCCGGGCACCGAATCCGGCTGGCCCCGGGCACAAAGAAGGTTAGGCAGCGCCCCAGGAGGCCTGGCCAGGTCGTGGCCCCTGGCCCAAACCTGCCACACCTGCTCAGGTACCCAAATGGGGCCCCAGATCCTGGGTGACTCGATCCCTCCAAATTCAGGTGATCTCCCCCGGCTCCAAATCACCAAACCCTCCCAGATCCCTCGCCAGACAGAGCCAAGCCCCAACCAGGAAGGGTCTCGGAACTGGACGCCAGCACCGCTGTCTCCAAGACCGGCTTGGGGGCCGAAGATGGTGCTGACCGGGTGCGGCTGGCTCCTCCTCAGTGGTGAGCCGGGGAATGGAGCCCCCCAGAACCTCAGCCTCCACTAAGGCCTGGGAAGGGAGGGGATCCCCAGACCAGGGAAAGAGAAGGTGAGGGCCGAGGTCCAGCATGCTGGGGAGGGAGAGCGGCTGGCATTACCCAGGCCATCTGCCCCTCCAAGAGGCGCCAGTGATGGGGGTGAGCAGGGCCAGCCACCCGAAGAGGTTTGCAGGGAGGAGATTTTCTAAGGCTGGGCTATGAGAAAGGGGCGCCTCATGCAGGCAGCAAGCCCTCACTGAGCTGGGCAGCTTGATCACAGAGGATTCCGCCCCTCTCAAAGGATGTGGCTGTGGCAGATGCCTTCTCAGCTTCAGTCTCCCTATCCATGAAATGGGCCTGACGCACCAGGTCCCTCGCAGGTCACTAGAAGCAGCTTTTCTTAGAAGCTATTTTCAACGCTTTCTGGGTGTAACCACCACCCTGCCAGGGCCCACTCATGGCCCCCACTTCACAAATGAGAAAACTGGTCAGCGTCACACAGCCAGAAAGTGGCAGGGTGGAACACTAGACCCCAAAACCTCCCTCCTCACCCTGCTCTACCAGCCTGGAAAGTACTAGAAACCAGGCTGGGCATGTAAGGACTTCTTCCATGAGAACCAACATGGCCACCCATTCCGGGGGACACACGCTAGTCAAACCCAAACAGCCCTGACCAGCTAGTCCAGTCCAGCTGCTGGGTTGTGAAGAAAAGGGGTGGAGTGTATTCAGCAGGTGCCTAAGGTCGGCTGTGGTTCTGCAGCAGCAGCAGAGAAGCAGAGGAGGAAAGTTGGGGGCGGGGGCTGGGGACGGGGTGGGCATGAGAGGCCCTGACCTCTAATGTGCAAAAGTAAAATTCACTGGGCTGGATGAACCAACTTGACCTTGTAAGACCCAGTTTGGGAAAATCTTTTGTGTCCAGTGAAATCTCCAGGATCCCTAGGCCAAGTGTGAGCTCCGGGTTTGCCCTGAGCTGTGTGCTGGAAACTGGACACGCTCCTCAGCATGCACCTCTCCCCAGGACCCAGGCACCGTGCCTGACTCAGCTTACTGAGCACTTACTATATGCCAGGAGCCAAGTCTCCTCCTCCCTCACATGAGGGGGATCGGTGGGGCCAGCTTCATCCATCCCTCCTTTTCCTCAGCCGCCTTCCTGGGCACAAGGGCCGAGATCTCTATCACCCCGGAGCCTGCCAAGCCAGCCGAGGGGGACAATGTCACCCTGGTCGTCCACGGGCTGTCAGGGGAGCTGCTTGCCTACAACTGGTATGCAGGGCCCACACTCAGCCTGGCCTACCTGGTGGTCAGCTACATCGTGAGCACGGGCGATGAGACCCCTGGCCCGAAGCACACCGGGCAGGAGGCAGTGCGCCCCGACGCCAGCCTGGACATCCAGGGCGCCCTGTCCAGGCACTCGGGCATCTACATCCTGCAGACTCTCAACAGGCAGTTTCAGACGGAGGTGGGCTACGGACACTTACGGGTCTATGGTGAGACACCCCCCAGACACCCCTCTACCCCAATGGGGCCGCCCCACTTCCTTCTCAATCCCTCTTTAAAAAGAGAGAGAGAGAGAGAGAAATGTAAAATATTTAAAACCATTCCCCCCTTCAAAAAAAAAATACTTAAAATAGCATTAAAATAGTCACCTCCTTCAGGATGACTTCCCAGATTAGACCCGCCTGCTAACCCCTTCTTCACCCCTCTAGCTGGGGGTGCCAGAGCACCACCAGGACCCTGCCTACCCCTGGCCTGGGGAGGGGAAGTCCCTGGGAGCAGGCGGTGCCCGGCCCCCTCCCCCTCTGTCTCTTGCCCACAGAGATCCTGGCCCCGCCTGTGATCATGGCCAACAGCACAGAGCTGGTGGAGCGTCGAGACACCCTGCACCTGGTATGCAGCAGCCCCAGCCCTGCTGAGGTCCGCTGGTTCCTCAATGGTGACGCCCTGCCCATCGCCGTCCGCCTCGGCCTGTCCCCAGACAGCCGGGTGCTGACCCGGCACGGAATTCGAAGGGAAGAGGCAGGAGCGTACCAGTGTGAGGTCTGGAACCCAGTCAGTGTCAGCCGCAGCGAGCCCATCAACCTGACCGTGTACTGTGAGTCCTCCTGGCCCCGGCAGAGATGCCCAATCGCCGGACCTCATAGGTGGGGAAACTGAGGACAGACGAGGGTGCCCAAGGACACCCAGGGAGTGAGTAGGCCACGCTGGGCTAGGAACCGGGATCCCGCTTCAGATGCTCTTGACCCATCTCTGAAGGACCGAGACCCACCTTAGAAGTGGAATAATCCTTTGGTTTGGAGCAATAGCTGTAGGGAAGAGAGGCGGGAAGGGAGTGGTGGGAAGTGGGGAGAGAGTTGCTGATAAAATAAAAAAACAGAATGGAGTCATTCCCAGGGGCCGCAGATCTGCAGTACGGAATCCGGGAAAACCAACCGCCAAGGTACACGAGTGCCAGTGATGTAGAAAACCTTAGAGCCTAGAATCTTCCCATCGGGGAATTCTAGATTTCAGAAGTGCTGAATTCTAGACTCTGAGAATCCTAGAAACCCTAGAAGCAGAAATTGTTTTATTGTTAGAGTGAAATTCGAAAACCTTAGAGCCACCTGATTCTAGAACCTTAGAAACCATGATGTCTAGAAGCTTAGCATTCTAGATTCTAGAAACATCGACTTGGAGCCTTAGAATTTAGACACGGAATGGCTATCAGAAACCACTCCTTAAGCTGCTGCTGCTGCTGCTTCTCCTTCTCTTTCTTCATCATCTTTTTAAACGGAGCCATCGATTTCAAACATCTTGAAATTTTGTCTGGCTCAACGCCCTCCTTTGATAAGCGAAAGCAGAGCCCCTAAAGCAAAAAAAGGTGGGGGGTGGAGGTGGGATTCAAAAAGGCCAAGGCTTTCTCCCTCCACTGGGCCCAGATACTCCCAGGCACCCAGTCCGGTGGAGAGAAAGCCAGGCGCCCCCCTCAGCTGCCCTCTCCCCCTACTGCCCTGTTTTTCTCCCTCCTGCCCTCGCAGTTGGCCCAGAACGGGTGGCCATCCTCCAGGACTCCACCACCCGCACCGGCTGCACCATCAGACTCGACTTCAACACGTCCCTCACCCTGTGGTGCGCATCTCGGTCCTGCCCAGAGCCAGAATACGTGTGGGCCTTCAACGGGCGGGCCCTAAAGAACGGCCTGGACCACCTCAACATCAGCAGTATGACAGCCGCCCAGGAGGGCACGTACACATGTATTGCTAAGAACCCCAAGACCCTGCTTTCTGGATCCGCCTCAGTGGTAGTCAAGCTCTCTGGTGAGTAGCCCCCAGCCTGGTCCCTCCCCACAGAGGCCCTATTGGACTGTGAAGGTTTGGCTGCCCGCCACCACCCACCCCCCGGCCCCGCATACACAGTGGAGCCACCATTTGTCCAACCGATGATTGGAAAGTTCGAGATTGTCAGCCCTTCACTGGCCAGGTGACAAGGTAGCATATTGGGTGGATGCCTCTTCATCCAGAAGAGGAGACAGCTCCTACCTTGACACCTGGAAACACAGGTCAAGTCACACTCTTCCCTGAGGGGTGGCAAAGTGAGGTGTGGGCCACGGGCCCCACGTTGTGGGGCAGCAGCGTGGAAAAGCATTCAGAGGTCCCTTCGTGTGGGGGCGCCCCTGTTCTAAATTTACCAGCTGGACCCACGACAGCTGCACTTGTGTGCAGCCGACTCAATTATCCAGTATCTGGCCCAGATTACAGAGCACATGTCTCTCTCTCTCTCTCTCTCTCTCTCTCTCTCACACACACACACACACACACACACACACAGAGAGAGAGAGAGAGAGAGAGAGAAAGAGAAAATCAGACCAGTTGTTGGTAAATGGAAAAACCCCAGCAGAGAGGCACTGTTTCCTGCCTCTGTCCTTAAAAGACCTGGGGGCTGGAGGTAGTGGAGGCGCATCTGGTGTTTTCACAGGCATCAGGAACCTCAGGGGACATTTTCTCATCGCCTGGGGATGGTGGCTTTGAGCAGGAGGGCCTCATTCATTCTGCCTCGGTTTCTTCCCAAGGGGCCGCCATCCCCTGGGGACAGAGGGCACAGCCCTTCCCTGCCTCCCTCCTCTCCTCCCTCCCTCCCTCTCCCGTCCCTCCTTCCTACGAACAGGCTGGGTCTCATCCAAAGGGTGGATACTCTTTCACCCAAAGCAGAAATGACATCCCCCGGGTAAGTGAAACTCCTGCCCCACCCACCTGGGATCTTGGCAGCGGGTCCTGGCAGGAGACAGGGGGTGGACTTAGCCCTGTCTGTGCAGATCAAGATGGGGGGTGGGGTGTCCTAGGCATTCGGGCCTGTGCAGGGAGTGGCACTGCACCCCCGAGGGTCTGCTGAACTGTGGCCAGTGCCAAGGGAGAGACAAGGAAAGGGAGACACCTTGCCCCGACCCGGGGAGACTGCTCTGATGGAGGAGACATGGCTTCCGCCTGGCAGAGGTGGCCCCGCCACAGGGAAGCATGGCCTGTCCCAGGGAAGAGGCCGTACCTCATCTCCATGGCCTCTGAGCAGGGATGGTACCTGACACCCGCCCTCAGCCAGCGCCTAGCCCTATGGAGGAGACCCCGCCCAGCCCAGGAGTTTCCATTCTGACTGGGGAGATGTGGTCTTGAGAAGACATGGAATTTTTTTCATAATTCCTAGTCTGATGGGGGAGACGGTACCCACCTTTGCAGTACTCCCAATCTGATGGGGGAGTACAGGTCCCCCCTCCTTTCTAGGAATCCCCAGTCTGATGGGTAGACATGGATCCATCTACTTCTGCGGTCACCAGCGTTATTGGAAGGGCCCAGCCCCAAAATCTGAAATTTCCAACCAGATGCAGGAGACATGACCCCAGGCCTTTCTTGGCAATCTTTCAATCTTGTGGGTACTATAGTGCCCATATACTGAGGCCTCTGGGTTTGACAGAAAAGTCACGGCCTGGGTATACGCTCCCAACGATCGATGGGGGAGACCTGGCTCCCATATTTTGGGAATCTGATGGAGGAGACATGATCTGACTTTCTAGGACCTTCCAGTGTAAGGGGAGAGACATGCCCCAAAGTCTAGGAGATTCCAGGTAGGGGTGAGATGGACCCCACCCTCTAGGGTCTCCCAATCTGATGGGGGAAGACACAGCTCCCTAGTAGACGTAGTTGGCCACAAAACCCGCCTCCACTGCCGCACAAAGTCATCTCCTTCCTCTGTCTCCTTCCCAGCACCCACCTGGGGAAGCGCCGGCCAGTGGGGAGGCACAGAGGGGCTGGCAGGGGGATGGGAGGGGTCACCGTGCCTAGTGCAGGCCCAGCTGACACAGCCCCCCATCACTCTCCCCAGCGGCAGCGGTTGCCATGACCATCGTGCCCGTGCCGACCAAGCCTACGGAGGGCCAGGACGTGATGCTCACCGTTCCAGGTTACCCCAAGGACCTGCTGGTCTACGCGTGGTACCGCGGGCCTGCCTCCGAGCCCAACCGGCTGCTCAGCCAACTGCCATCAGGGAACTGGATCGCAGGCCCCGCGCACACGGGCCGGGAGGTGGGCTTCACCAACTGCTCGCTGCTGGTGCACAAGCTGAACCTCACGGACGCCGGCCGCTACACGCTCAAGACCGTCACACTGCAGGGCAAGACGGAGTCTCTGCAAGTGGAGCTGCAGGTGGCCCGTGAGTGTGCGGGACGGGTGGAGGGAGCGTCTTTCAGACAGGGGCTGTTTTCTCCATTGGTCGGGGAACTGGAGGTCAAGGATGGCTATGCCTCCCCCTAAGACTGAAAGAAGGAGACTTGGCTCCTCCATCTGTCTTGGGGGGATCCCCCAAATGGAGCCCACACCTCTTCTGTCAGGCCAGGAGTAACTAGGCCTCCTTCATCAGCCTGAGGGCTCCATGCCTTCTCTCTCATGTGAGAGGTACACCAGACAATGTTTTAAAAGAGGGGGCTTAGTCTGAGGTTGGGGCCTCTTTTCCCTTTAGACAAGTGGGCCCTAAGACAAGAGATATTGCCTCTTCTATGGGGGAAATGGGCTCATGATGGGAGGTGACCTCCCCCATGGGACTCAAGGCACAAAGTGAAGGTGGAGCAGGTATACCAGGCTGGAAGGGCCTGGCCAACAGGCCATATGTCATCCCTTGCATTCTAGTAAGAAGAACAGAACTTCTGCCATCAGAGGGTGGAATTTATCCTTCAAGCTGAACTAGGGGTCATCTCCTTCATTAGGGTAGAGCTTCCTAGGTGGTGGGAATTATGTCTTCTCCATCAGACTGAGGGCTCCCAGAGTCAGATGTCTCCTCCATCAGACTGGGGGCTCCCAGATTAGAGACCATGTCTTGTCCATCAGACTGGAGGCTCCCAGATCAGAGACCATGTCTTCTCCATCAGACTGGGGGCTCTCAGAGTCAGGGACCAGGTCTCCTCCATCAGGCTGGGGGCCCCCCAGAGTCAGGGACCATGTCTCCTCCATCAGACTGGGGGCTCCCAAATTAGAGATCATATCTTCTCCATCAGACTGGGGTCTCCCAGAGTCAGGGACCATGTCTCTTCCATCAGGCTGAGGGCTCCCCAGAGTCAGGGACAATGTCTCCTCCATCAGACTGGGGGCTCCCAGATCAGAGACCATGTCTTCTCCATCAGACTGGGGGCTCCCAGAGTCAGGGACCAGGTCTCCTCCATCAGACTGGGGGCTCCCAGAGTCAGGGACCAGGTCTCCTCCATCAGACTGGGGGCTCGTAGAGTCAGGGACCAGGTCTCCTCCATCAGACCGGGGGCTCCTGGAGTCTCTCCATCAGACTGTGTATCCCCAGAAGCCTCCGCTCTGAGGCAGGATAGGGTTTCACCCACATGACCAGGCACTCCCAGAAGCCACGTTCCTGAATCAGGAGTAGTGTCACCCTTTCTCACACCTGAAGCTTCCAGGATCAGAAGCCCCATCACCACCAGATACCCCCACACTCTCCTTTCAGATTACCCCCTGGTTTGCTGGGCAGTGTTGGGGCGAATGCTGCTCAATGGCAGCAGGCCACCCCGGGGAAGCCTCGGAATTCCTTTTCAACCTGTCTCTCTTCTCACAGTCAACCTCCCTCCCAGGCAGAGGACCAACGTCACCCTCCAGAACCCGAACCTGGCACAGGCTGAGCGAGGGGCTGGTGGGGCCGCGGGGAGGCTGGGGCGTGGGCACGGCGACGGGAGGGGCGGGGGCACTGGGAACACAGTCTTTTACCTCCCTGATGGCCTCCTCCGCCCCTGTGCCCCCTCCTCCTCCGCAGTCCTGGGGTAGCAGCATGGCCCTGGCATCCTGGGCAGAGAAGAGTTCTCTGCGCATCCTCCTGTCTCCGCCCCAGAGCAGAGGATGCTCTCCACCGGAGAGGCCACTGGACCAGACCGAAGTCCTCCTGTTCTGCTTCCCGCCGCCCTAGAGTTCGAGCCCACCGGGTCCTACTCCTCCACCGAGCTGTCGAGCTGTCGGAGAGCTGCAGAGGCCATAAATGTCCCCGTTAACACATGCGCGTGTCAGCCTCTCCTTCCACCACCGCCAGCCCTGTCACCTCCAGGGGCCACCCCAGCTCCCCTCCCATCCAAGATTATCTCACACCCCTATGTGCATGCGCAGGGATGCCCAGTTTCAGCGCCGCCAGCACCCACTGCTTGATGTTGGGGTCTCAGGCCCTTCCTGTGTCCCCCCAGGTTGTAACTAAGGGCCCAGTTTCCCAGTGAGCCAAAGATTGCCCTTCCCCGGGGCACCAAACAGCTGTGGGGCACGGCCCCTCCTCTCTGCACCCCACTCCATCACCGAGGCCTGGAAGCACAGCTACTTATGCACAGGACTGGGAAAGACCAGATTTCTCAGAGTTTTAGCACCTTCTGCCCCTCCCCTGTTTAACCAGAGATGCCCCTTTATGTCCTCCATGTTTCGGAGATATCTTCCCCACCACGCTGTTTCTCTCTCAAACATCATCTGCAGAACCCTAAAAATATCTCCCTTCTCTAGCCACAAAAAAATGCCTCGCAAAGGAATGATTACAATGGGAACAGGGGTGCGGGAGAAGGGGTGGAGAGCTGGAGCCAGAGAGGATGTGTCTTCTAAGTCCTCTTCTTGCAGGGTCTGAGCCTCAGGCCCCACCCAGCCAAGATGCCCCTTTGAAGAGAGACTCTTGGTGTTGGTCAGAAGTGGTGATGGCAGATGCCAGGCTTCGGTAGAGAGTGCAGGCAGGGAAGGAAAAACCCACTAGAGAGATTGCCCAGAAATTTTCAAGACAGTCTTCCTGGAGAGGTTGAGTTTGGGTGGTGGGTAGTGAAGACCACCCAGAATGATGGTTATAATAGTTCAGCTATAATCCTTCATTTCCCATGAGTCACTACACCCTCAGTTTGCCCATGGTAAAAAAAAAAAGTGGTGGACTTGAAGTAGACTACAGTTTTCCAAGTCATTTTACTAGCTTCAGAGCCCTTTCTTTCTTTCTTTTTTTTTAAAGATTAATTAATTTATTTATACAAGCACTGGGTACAGTCAGAGGCATGGGAGGGTGAGAGAATTCACCAGAGTCAGTGCAGAGAGCAGAACAGGCAGACTGATGAAGTACACTGCTGAGGGGAGCAGCGGGTGGCAGGAGAGGTCTGCGCGCCATGTGGGACCCTCGCCAGCACCCGGGGATCGAACCGGTGCTGCAGAGACTGCGGGAAGCTTTGCAACCCAGCGCTCAACCGCTCCTCCACCCGGGAGGCCCCAGAGCCCTTTCTTTAAAGGCAAACTTCCATGGTTGGTCAACATATTCTTTAAAATACCAATACAGTAGGAGTAGATATCAATTCAAAAGCTGATGTATCCTCCCCCCAAATTTCTACACACTTAAAATAACCTCTTATTTAAATGACACTTGGATTACAAAGGCCATTAAAATGCAAACTATCAAATAGTATCAAATGACAAGTGAGAACATTCTACGAAGAAGCCTGGGGGGTATGACCAAAAGCCTCCCTTGGATGAGAAATGACAACCTTAAATGCTTCAATTCTTTGATAATACCAAAAAAAAAAAGCTTACCACGAACAAAATAAGCTCCCCCTTTAAAAAAAAAAAAAAATGAAACCCTTAAAAATAAAATTTAAATTAAAAAAAATAATAATAATAAAAACCCTAAAAAAAATTAGAAAAAGTCCACAAGACAAACCAAAGGGAAAAAAGCTAAGGAATTAAGAAAGAGGAAGGCAGACATGAAAGCAATATTAAAATTAATCAATGAAACCTAAAACTGGTATGTTGAGAAAGTCAATGTGATAGACAAGGGTGATAAGAGACTAAGATGTAAGATTAACAAGAAACTAGTCTGAGGCAGAGTCTCATTTGTGTTAGATGCTTAAACACCTATCAGGCATTTTTGGGAAGGGGGTGTGGCAGGCTCCGCGGCCAGCTCCCCGGCAGCCTCTCCCCCACCCTGCTCCAAGATGGCAGGTACCGCCTTCCACGCAAGAAGCTGAACGCGTCAGATACTCGCTTTCCCAGCCTGCTTTGCGGTTGTGGGCGGTCATGTGATCAACCCTGGCCAATGAGGGAATGGGGAGCAAAAAAGGCCCGCCCACTGACTCCACCCTACCTGAGCGGGGCGTCTAAAAGATCTCCGTGGGCTCTGAAAGCTGCTCCCTCTATCAATAGTCTCTATTTCTTTCTCTTTTTTTTAAAGATTTATTTATTTATGCATACAAGAGCTGGGGTATAGGCCAGAGATGGGGGGCTGGGGGGGTGAGAGGATTCAGGAGGGACAGAGTGGGGAGCAGAACGGGTAGACTGACTGAGATACACTGCTGAGGGGAGCAGGGGGCGAGACAGGAGAGGTGTGTTGTGCCATGTGGGTTGCTTCCTTGCCGGCGGGGGCTCGAACTCAGGCTGCAGAGGCTGAGGATTGCTTCATAGTGCGGTGCTTAAACCCTTGCGCCCCAGGAAGGCCCTCAATAGTCTCTACTGTGTGATTTCCAAGCAGTGGCACAGCTAGAAGGGGAGGATGGATTTAAGCCCATCTTAACCCCACCGCTAGGTAGTCTCAAAACAGGAATAGTGCCCCTGTCCTTACCCACCCCCATCAAGCTCACCAGAGTCAGCAACACATATAGGGCTAGAGCCCAGATGTCAGGACTTGTCTTCAGTGGCTAGAAAGGGAGGCTGGACTTATAATTGAGAGACGGGAATATGTAAGAGTAGCTTATATCGATAGAAATTTATTTATTCCTCACATAAAAATCACCCAGAAGCAGATTGTTCAGAGCTGGAGTGGTGACTCCAGAGAGACTGGGAGATCCCAGAGTCTGTCATCAGGACACAGCTCTTTCTATCCTTCTGCTCTATCATTCTTGCCTCCGGGCTCCCATATGCTCAAATTACCTCATGACCCAAGATGGCTGCTGGAGCTGCAGCTGCCTCATCATCCAGCCTTCAGACAGAAAGTAAGAATGGGATAAAAGGCAAAAATAGCCCCCAAACCAGTATACAGATGGTGCCCCTTTTAAGGACCCTTCCCCAAAGTCCCAGTCTACAACTTCCACTTAAATCTGATTGGCCAGTTCTTAATCACATGGTCACTGCGGTTACAAGGGAGGCTGGGAAAAAGTAGTCATTTTTCCTGGGTCTGCGCAGCCTCCAATAACGTCAGGGTCCTGATATCAGGTAAAGCAGGAAGAGTGAATGCCAGATGGCCAGTTGGCAGCCTTTGTCATGCCAGATCTTGGAACACCTGCCTCCCAAGCCGGACACAATGGCCTTTCTCGCCTAAGCCCAAAGGGCTAGCGCCACAGCCTAAGTGGAAAGGTTTGGGAAAAGACTAGAGTTGTGTTCATTTGGTATTTGCTTTATGCAATAGAGAATTAGGCCAGTGGGAGGGGCAGAGGGAGGGAGGGAGGGCAGGGCAGGCAACTCAGATTTCTAGGTCAAGCCAGATCCCATGTCCTGAAGCTGGGGACACTCAGATGTCCCCAGCACTAGAATCCTGTCCCTCAGGCATCTCTGGGCTCCCCGGAAACCTCAGCACAGTCCCTTCCCCTTCTTTAAACAGTCCAGGAAAGATCAACAATAGTAACCACAAGTAACAAGAGCACTGATAACGCTGACAGTGAGTGTGTCCTTGGTGTGAATTATCTCAACAAAGTCCTGCAACAACCCGTTGGAGCATTGACCGCCAGTTTCCCCATTTTACAGGTGGGAAAACAGTGAGCTGAAAATCTCCAGGCCCCACAGTTCCCATGGCTGACGGTGAGTCCCCTTCATTCTGCAGCAGGGCTGAGTGCCCCACTCCAGGGGTGGTTGAAAAGGTTACCGAGTCAATACAAGAGAAGAATCTAATGCCTAAGTGCTTGATAAGTGTTCTGCTCTCCCCACAAA